CTTCCCTTCCCTTCCTTTCCTTCCCTTCCTTTTCTTTCCTTTCCTTCCCTTTTTCCTTTCCTTCCCTTTTCTTCCTTCCCTTCCCTTCCTTTTCTTTCCTTCCCTTCCCTTCCCTTCCCTTCCTTTCCTTTCCTTTCCTTTCCTTTCCTTTCCTTTCCTTCCTTTCCTTCCCTTCCCTTCCCTTCCTTTTCTTTCCTTTCCTTCCCTTTTTCCTTTCCTTTCCTTTCCTTTCACAAACTAGAGATTGCCTTCCCGATTCCATATGGTTCCTCAGTACCTCTCCCACATCCTTCCCACCTGTCTTCAGTCACTGTACACGACCGCTTCCTCCTGTCTTCCAGTCCTTAAGCAAACATTCCTTAGTGACCTTGTCTGTTATGTACAGAGTGGGAACTGAATAAATTGATTTTTAAAGTCACTGTAAACTGGCAAAATGAATTACGGTCCAACATAATGTTATTCGGTCTTGAATGAGGAGATGGTCTGAACTCTAAGGTACTTTATTAATTAAAACAAAAAGCAAAGTGGCAAGTAGTATTTATATTATGCTGCAACTGGGGGGGAAGCAGAAAAAAAAACTTCTATCTATATATTTTGTACACACGATAATACCAGTCGTTTAGAGGGAGGGGGAAGGAGGTGGAAAGACTTCTCACTCTAGGCTTTTTGATTCCTATAATTTGTGAGACTTTATTCAAAACATAATAAAAATGAAGTTCTTGTTAGTTTAAATATAAGTCCTTCTGTTTCTGATAAAATTCATCCTATTCATTATTTTTTTTTAAGGAGGTTCCGCTCCCCGCATGGAGCCCACCACAGGGCTTGAACTCATGACCCTGAGTTCAAGGCACGAGTTGGACATTTAACCAATGGAGCTACCCTGGCCTCCTTTGTCCTACTCATTATTCATCGTCTTCCAAACTCCATGGTCTGAGGTATGAGAAAGATAAACACCCCCCCCGAGTGACACACAGAGAGGAGGAGTCTAAGTCCTGGAGGCACTGAGTTGGAGCAGGAAGATTCGCCTCTCTCAGCACCTGCTCTACCAGCTCTCCAGCCAAACCCGGCTTCAGGTATAAAACCCCGTCCCCTTCTCTCTGTCTTTGTAGGTTACCTGTAAAACCCTGGACAAGTCTCAGAAACATCGATCCTGTCTCTGGTATTTACCAAGGAGACTTCTGGAATCTGTGGAGAGGCTCCTAGTCCTCGGAGATTTATTGATTCTCCTGGAACTCCCAGGAGCAAAGCAGAGGCAGGACCTAGGGAAGTAGTCAGCAAACGTTTTCTATAAAGGTCCAGATAGAAAATACTTTAGACTTTGCCAGCCAGATGGTCTCTGTCACGATTATCATCAAGTACTCACCCCTGCCTGGAGGCATGAAATCAGTATGTAAGTGCAGGGGCATGGCTGTGTTCCCATAAAACTTAGTTTACAAAAGCAGGCTGGCCAGGTTAGGCCTGTGGGCCTTTGCTTGCTGGCTCCTGACATCAGGGAATGAAGTCACTTGATCATGAGCATTGATTTTGGTATGTAATGAGAATATAATTCTAATTATGATTTAGAATATAATAAGCTGGAAACTTCAGTCTCAAGGATGTGTGGCTGTGAGCTCTTACCGGGGTACTGAGCTGTCAGGCCACAGTAGGTAGCCACGTTGACAAAGAGGACGTGCTTGCCCGCGTACCGCTTGAACGGAATGTGCTCCTCTTCATTGAGGCTGAGGGCTCCATACTCATAGATGGTGCCTTTCACATCTTTGTAGCAATCCATCTGGAAGATTTAAAATATGATGCTATTAACAACAACAATTCCTAACCCCTGTGTAAGCTTTCAAAGCCCTCAAAGAGTAGTACCTGTATCGACTGAAAGCAAACCAGGAAACAGAGCAGTTGTCCACGGTGTGTATGGACTGAGACTTAAGTCTTGTGACTCGGAAGCCGCTGGGTTTTGAGCAAAGCAACAGTCAAGCCTCCTTGTCCTGTTATCCTGGGGTGGTAGGGTACGAGGAAATGCGCTGGGATGAGAGGAACAGAGCAGACGTTCATGGGCTGGCATGGGAAGCCCTAGAAGGCAGGGGGGCCAAAGAGGAATGCTCACTGTGCCTCTGTGAGGATGAGGCTTGCGTTGGCTCTGGACCGAAGGCATCCTGCCTGGAGTCTCCCGCGGAAGGGAAGATTCTGGATCGCTTACGTATGTAGCGGAAAGAGCTCTGACCTGGGAATCAGAAGCCAGCTCTGCTGTCAAGTTCTCTTGTGAACCTGGGCAGTTCTCACCCTTGACCCTCAGTTTCCCCACCGCTAAAGTGAAGACATTCATCTAGATTCCGATCAGGTCTTCACAGGGCCTTCCCGGTTCAACATTCTAGAACCTAGTATCAGCCTTGAACAGCCCTCTCTCTCCTGTCACTTGCTTGCTCGAGTGATGGTCTGACAAGCCGCGGCTGTGACACTGTCTGTAGCTCCCAGTGGCGGACGTGGAGAGCGCTATTCCATCTGCCAATGGCACCAAAATCTGTCTGGCAGCACCCAGCTGCCACAATATCAGCCCCCCAGCCCACCCCATTCTGCTCTGGGAACCTAATCCTCACCTTCATCACTGGCTCCATTGAGCCTGTTCCTCCCCAAGAGTCTCCTGAACATATTTGAGCAGAATTCCATGTAATACAAATAAATTCCATGTAACAGAAATAAGTTGTCCAGACATTCTCACTGCCTGTTCTTAGGTTAAGTTCCTCTGCAAGGCAGATCTCACCTTTCTTCCTCCACTCTATCCACGTAGGGTCCTTGAAGGACCCCTTTTCCGACACTGGGTAAGCTGCTGCCGGTTGCTCGTGGAGCACAGGGAGTATGAACAGGAAGTGTGAGAAGGAAGGCAGAGGAACTGATCGGAGAAAGGGGAGAAAGACATGATCTGATAAGGAAGGTCCAGATTAAACCAGGCTACCCAGAAATCCAATGGACTAGAAAGGATTTTAGCAACACCACCTGTCCAGATGCAACACAGACAAAACAAGACTTTCTCCAACCTTCTAGGCCAACTGCTTCTACCACTAGCTCACCAGGCTCTGGAACTCGCTCCCTGCTCCTGGGCAGAAAGGTGCCTTCTCTGTGCAGGCTTTTGCACCTTCCCCTGAGTGCATACACAAACACATACCAGCAAAACTGAGACATGCATAAAGAGAATACCATATGGAAGCATCCATCTGTTTCCATGATGCCGGGTTCTAACCTAAACATTTTTAAGAATTTGTCTCTTATTTTTTTCCTTTGCTACTGCAATGAAATTTACTGAAAATCATGTTGGGTAACCAGGGTGTGGGGGTTTAGAGAGACTCTGGACCTGGAGAGCCCTTCTCAGGCCAGCTTACTCGGGATACTCATTGCTGCTCCAAACATATTTACTTAAGTCCGTATGATATGTCTCCAATACCTCCAGACTCAGCTTTTTATTAAGCAAATACTATAGCCCAGGTTCCAGGGTCTTCATACCCAGTTAGGCAGCCTTGAGGAACAGAAAAGCCACACCAATTCTCAAAAGTAGAGAGTCACCCAGGAGGTTCTCCCAATTTCAGAGTAGTAGGAAGATCTTACCAGAGCTGCCTTTTACTGAACACTTTCTATGTGTCATAATTATTACTCATCTGCCCACAAGGTAGATACTGTTGCCCACAAATTTATAATGAGAAATCAGAGGCTAACAAAGGCAAAGGGACTTGTTCAAGACAGAGGTGATCGCCACTCTACATGGATGAAAGGTTGCTTGCCTCTCGCTTCATGATTCCATTTTGCCTCCAAGTCAACCAGATCATTGCTGCCCTTCCCAGAGCTGCCCCTCCCTTTGCTATACACACAGGTCATCAGTAAGGCAACTGAGCCATGAACTGGGACTAGACTGAGGCCAGAACCCAAGACTCCTGATTCTAAATCCAGTTGCTTTAGACCTCCAATTATTTATTTATTTATTTATGTATTTATTTATTTGAGAGAGAGAGAGAACAGGGGCATGGAAGGGGGAAGGGGCAGAGAGAAGCAGATTCCCCACTGGGCTCGGTCCCAGGACCCCGAGATCGTGACCTTAGCTGAAGGCAGATGCTTCACCGACTGAGCCACCCAGGCGCCCCTAGACCTCCAATTATTTTGCCTGTGTTTATGTTTCTCTGATTAGCTCTCTGACTTCATCCATAACTTCCACATCGGTTTCCTCCTCCTCCTCCTATAGGTGTCCCACTGAGCTGCATCGGAGATGACTTAGCCCACCCTCTCCTCCAAACCCTGCCCCTCACTGTGAAGCCCACTGCCTTCCCGTGCCTCAGGCCCAGCTCTGATGTAAATTAAGTACTGGTGTGGCTGGAAGAGTATCCACGCCACCCTAACTAGAGATGCAGGAGAGCAAGGACCACAGTAAGGAGACTCTTCCCTACCTGTATTCAGTTCAAGGAACACCCATTTCTAGGATCAAAGAAGAGTCAAGAGAAAAGAAAGGTTAATGGAAAACCCCAAGAAGAAAGAAAGCAGAGGTCAGAGTCTTACAAGAATGACTGGAGCAGGATAAAACAGTAACTTGACCTTGGAGCCCTACCCCGCCCTCTCTGGAGGTCGCTCACCTTCATCTTCTCAGGCTTGGCATTTGTCTGTGCAAAGCTGACTAGCACAAGAGGAACAAGGTAAGAGGCCCTTAACTGTGCAGTCATTACCATGTCTGTAGATCCAGTCTTTGAGGCTGAGATCTCGCACACCCTGGCAGCCTTTTGATACACAGCCAAGCCTGCGCAGGCCAATCACAAGGTGGCAAGGGTTCCTGGGGCATGAGTGGGGACGCAGAATTTAAACCACATCCTCACCCACACACACCCCCGTGGGCACTCAGTGCTCACTGGTGCGATGCGGACCTGAGACTCATATAAATTCTGGCAGAATTATGAAAAGGTGAGGGCAAGCATCCATGGTCCTTAAAGATTACTGTGTGTTTTAACTGAGTGGTTAGTAGGGTCCAGGTGCAGGCAGTGCCTCCCCAGCATTGCAGTGGGGTCACTGCAGCCGGGACGACAGAGATTCCGAATACCATTCTTAATCTCATGATGTGTGGACCACCTAGGACCTCTCCAAGAGAGCTGGAAGGAAACTGGCCCCAAGGAGGGAAAAATATTCTCAACATGTGCGAAGGAAGCCCATTTCTATGTTCGTTGTGCAACTGCCTTCAACTGCTGACAAATTAGTAAGGAAAGCAACCAGCCCTACAGACAATGGGCAGCAGAAAATAAGCCAAACCGCGTCTGAGCTGGGATACGATGTTCTCCTCACCAATAATCAAAGAAATGATGCATTCCGTATTTATCAGATTGGCTGAAGTCACCTAGGTGTCGTGGGTCTGGTCTAGGAGGTTCTTGCGCACCAGACAGGGGAGGGACTAGTGGCCGCCAGTTTTCTGGAGGATAATCCACCATTAAAAATGCTCTTAATCTCCAGGAAGCCCCAGGGCCTGAGAAGGATAAGGACAGGAGACACGAATTCCTCTAAGAAAAATGCCGCCATTGTTGGAGTGCAGTTCCCAGCAGCCCAATAGTCTCCACTAACGTGGGGACTAGATAGGGAACCCAGGCCCGGAGCCTAGGAATCGCTGGATTTCCCACTTGCATAATATATTTATCCCCCACCCCCCAGGGAGGCTTGTCAAGATCTTCCTCCCTCTTGTGTACAATACTGTCTACTTTTGGACCTCAAGTGCTGGGATCTGAGCTCGTGGCACCCCCGAATTCATGATCATTTGTCCTTGCAAGGCCCCTCTCTTGTTTTGTGTGTTACTCCCAGGCTTTGGCTCCCAAACCCCATTCTCCCCCCATGGGTAAAATATGTTTAATATTCCTATTGTTTGTTTTCTTGAAAACTGTGCATTCCTCATCAGATTATTAGCCCCTTGAAGCTTAAAACATCACTGACTTCCCCTCCCCCACTGACTTCCCCTCCCCCCCATTTGGACGCACATTCAAAGGGTTGAGTTAATCAAACTCTTAAACTCATGGCACTTTAGCATCATTAGGCTGTGCGATGCCTGTCTTATTATATATATATATATTTTTTTAAGTAGGTTCCACACCCAGCTCGAACTCACGACCGTGAGCTCGAGACCTGAGCGGAGATCGAGAGTCGGACCCTTAACCCACTGAGCACGCAGGCGCCCCTTACTGTATTAATTGTATTTAAATGGGTTTTTGTCCCCCATCCACGCCCACTGTCGGGGAACAGCCCTGCAGCCTGGGAGGCTGGCGGCCCCTGATGACACGCGGGAATGTTCATGGGGGCTGGCTCTTCTCACGCTTGGAGTCCCGGCTCGGCCACCCCCGGGCTCGGCTGAGGTGAGTGACAAGGAAATGCTGCAAACTCCGGATTCCCTGAGGGGGGCCGGGCTGCTTCCCGCCCCCTCTCTTCCCTCGGCCTTCCCCCGGAGGGTGTGCGAGCCAGCTCGGCCAGCTCCCCGGGGCTGAGACCACACAGCCGGCCCCTGCGGTGAGCCCCCCCCCACGCCCGCCCGCCGGGCCGCCCCCCCCCAGGGCCGCACAGCGCTGCCTCCACCTTCTGGAAACTCAGTGCCATCGGGCTCCACGCTCCGACTTGGGCATTTCTGAGCTCTCTTGGAAAACAAGCTTTTGTTCTCCCAGATTCCCCATCTCTCCTCAGAGGCCTCCAGTCTGGTGGGGGGAGGAGGGAGCCTAAAACATGACCTCTGACCCAGCCGCGAAGCTCCCCCCGCCCCGGAGGCGGCTGAGCCGGGTTTCCTTTTGGTGTGTCTGCCCCCCCCCCCCCCCCCCCCCCCGGTCCCCGCTCTCTCGGTTCATAGAATGATGGAGATTAAAGCGTCGAGCCTCAAGAGTCATGTTTTTAATTGTTCCTTCCCAAGCCGTGAGACCGGAGTCTGCGCCTCTGGTTTTTATTTGTAAAATTGGGAGAATAATGTGAACTGGACCAGCCCTGGCCGTGGCCCCAAGGTAAACATCCCATGTTTACTCAACAGATGACAAAACCGGCGTCCAAGTAGAAGAACCCATTTCCCCAAAGTCCTGTGAAAGGGCACCCTGCCCCCGCCTTTCTGTTTTAAATTCCTTGCTCTCTCTGCCATTTTATCTTTGCTCGGGACACAAGAACTCCCAGAGTAGAAGAGCAGCTCTGCCTCACGGGGCAGATCAAGTGGCCTAAAATCTCCCCGAGCCTCTGTGTCCCACTGCTGTGGTCTCTGTCCCGGAGAAGAGAAGTCTCCCGACATCTCCCCGGGAGGCCTGGGGGGGCACTTCCTGTCTCAGTCCACAGCTGCTGCCTGATCTTCCGCTTCCACTAGAGCGGCTGATCAAACCCTGTCCTTTCCTTTCCGGAATGTGGAAATAATCTGCTTGTCTTCTCTCTTCCAGGCTCTTCCCTTCCTGCAGCCGCTAGAGCCTCGAGATGCCTGCTGACACCGCTCCACTCAGGAAGTCAGGCCACCCAGGTTAGGAGAGCCTCACACCCGGACAGGCAGGTACCCAAACCTCTCCTGGCAGCGCCCTCAACCCCGCTCCCAGGACGCCCTCCTGCGATTCTCCGCACACAAGCAAAAATCCGACTCCCTGAAACACATCTCTTTGGACTTACGTTCTTGATCTTGGAGGTCGGTAATTCTGAGTACTTTGGGATTCTACCTCCCCTGCTCCAAATTATCTCTATATTTATGCCCACCGAGAGGCAGGGGAAGGCAATTTTATCAAACAAGATTTTAAGTGGAAGTGTTTGTGACCTGAGCCATAACTTTAAGGCGGAAAACCTGTCCGGATCTAAATTGGCCATAAACTCTTGTCACTTTCCGACTTTAAAAATTATCCTACAATTGCAAATAGTCCATAACCTTCAGTAGACAGAGTGGCAAGAATCCACATGTCTCAACCGCTCCTGCTCTTTGCCACTCAGACTCCAGCTTTTCCTTGAGCTAGGACTCTTATGAGGAGAACTTTCTTGCCCAAGGTCACGTGGCTAGTGAGCGGCAGTTTAAAGACTCAAATAAAGCCCCCAGACTCCTTGGCCTAGCCTGTGAATGACTTGATCCTACCTGGAAATCAATACCAAGGTTCTTGTGTTTTAGCTAAAAGTGACAGAAGTTTGGTTCCTTTGGTCATAAAGGAAACAAGTTCCACTTTTGCCGAGTTGCTGTCCACCTCCTTCTCCCAGATTCAAACCCAGTGTCGGCAACCCAAACCTGACCTAGAGATTTTTGTCCCCATTTACTTGGGGACAGTTTTACTTGAATATTTTCCCTGAATTAGATCATCTCTTTGGGCATCTGAGATCCCGACGCAGGACTCCAGGATTTTCCTTACTCTGGGTGCAAGTGTGAGACCTAAGACCCATTCCTAAATCTGCAACTTTAAAATAATATTGGGTATGTTTATATACTATTTGTAGTTCATGAATACCCTTCACATCAGTGATCCCACTTGGCCCTCCCAGTGAACTCTTTGCATACGGAGGACACACATTCCTTGCTTGAATTTGCAATGGAAAAGTGAGGTTCAGAAAGGGGACTTGACTTGGGCGAAGTCTCAGAAGAGTGTAGACCTAGACCATAAACTTGTGTTTTTATTTCAAATCCATCTGTCTCTCCACTCTCGGCTCCATTCCCCATAAAACATGTTTGGAAATGAAGGAAAGTCCTTGAGAGGCCACCGTCCTTTTGCGTTTAATTTTCATCCTCATGTTTCCTTAACCTTCTGACTTCCTTCCCCAAACATGCCGAGGTCTGGGGCTCTCCTCTGGTCGAGGCTGGCCATGGCCCTGAGCCGTCACAGGCGGCTGGCTTGGCACTAGGACTGGACTTTCGGAAGGCTGTGTCGCTGGCGCCAGCCTCCTCCCTGGCCTCCAAGGAGGAGGAAGGCTGGGAGAGATCTGCTTCTCCGGGGCTGGGCTGGGGAGGCACTAAGAGGAAGGCTGTGTGCTCCCCTAGGCAGTGTTCTTGTCTGTCACTCCTGCCCTAATGGGCCGGGGGAGGGCGTGGGAGAGAGCTCCCTGTCTGTGCACAACCACCGGAAGCTGAGGAACCCACACCATTCAGAACCCGAGCCCTCCCACCTGCAAAGCCTCCAGTCTGTGCTTCAGGCCCTTGCTGCTCCCAGGGAAGGAATAAATACGCACCATATCCACAAGCACACGCTGCGGCCTTCACCAATGAAAGGAAGAGCACTGTGAGGCATTGGGAAAACACCTCCCTAGGCCTCAGCTTACCCACTTATAAACCAGAAAATCGCCAAAGTCCCTTCTAAGGCTCACATTCTCAGTTTATGTTCCCAGCTTTTGAGAGATTCTGATCACCTCTGAAGCTGATTGGATCAGTTTTTTTTTATCCCTACATAATTGGGAAACAAAAGTAAGAATCAAGAAATCTTACGAATTTCGAGCTCTACTGTGTCATATAGGTCATAAAGGTTTTCCAGGCCACAGCTGTATATGTGAGAACCAGATGCTCAGGAAAGTGGAAAGATTGCCCTGTCCAAGTTCAAGGCCAGGGCCAGACAGACACAGACTCTCTATCCACGTTGCAATCATATGAGATGCAGAACAACAGATTCGAGACCGAGACCACTTGGCTTCTCTGCTGCCATCCTACAATCCGCCGGCCTGTGGCACCTGAGGGAGGGCATCAAGGGCAGTGGGAAACAGCAGGAGTTGACCTCGAACCTCCCTGCAGTCGTCCCAGGGACACGGTGGGCTCTCTTTCGGGCTAAGACCAACAGAGGGAGGACATACAGAT